CTGAGAGCTCAAGGGTCCCCCTCGGCACCCGAGTCGCAGCCACCATGGGACAGACAGAAAGGTTCCAGGCCGCACGGAGCCCAAGCACAGGCTGCAGACTTCTCTCAACTGTCCCGCCAACTGTGTTTTTAAATTTATTTTTATTAGCGAGCAAGCAGCATCCCCTATGAGGTCTTCCTGCTGCGATCTACTTCCAGCCTCGGCCAGCCAGGATCACATACACGTGCAGCACCCAGGCAGCCCTCAGACAGAACCGGACCTTCCCATGTGGCCTCGGGGTCACAGAGCCCTGTATCACTCTGTGCCACCATCCGGCCCGCCTCTGTTTTTAAGTATTTCTGTTCTAAACGTCTGAAAGCCCTCCAACGTCATTCTAGCCTGCCCTGGGCTACCTGCTCCCTAAATGCTTCTACTCGTGGGCTTGGCCTGTCCGTCAGGCTAGGAGTCCTGATGCCCACTTCCCTCCGCTCCTGGGCCCTGAACCTGAAAGCCAACATCTGACCACACCGTCCCCCAAGGGCTCCATATCCCGAAGGCTGTCCTGGGCACCAGGCAACTCACTGCCTCCACACCCGAGGACCCAAAGCCACCACAGGCACGACCTCATGGAAACCACGAGGGTATTCCTCCTCTCTGTTCGGATGGCTGCCTGGCCTCAGTTTCCCTGCCTGACTCTGCAGCTGATGCGGAGCCAGCTGTGGCCACGGAGCAGAGGAAAGGCCCTCGGGACAGTCCGAGGCCCCATGCTTGCTGTGAGGCCCCCGAGTCCCGCCTTTTGGTTCTCCCCAGTTTTCCCTGAGGGCTACAGAGGAGAAGGCTCCAGAACCAGGGACGGCAGTGAGGATGAATGAGCTGGTGTCTTTCAGGCATTCTGAGCTCTTCAGAGAACAGCATTACATAAATACCAGGCCGAGTTATATATTTAGACATCGCTTCCTACTTTTGTATGGTAGAGGATTTTTTTTCCTCCGAGGTTTTCAAAGGGTTTATGAATGGGAAATACTCTGAACACTGAGCTTTAGTAGAAATAAAGATCCTTGTCTCACCCACCTGTAAGTCTCAACCCCCTGCATTCTCTTTGAAGGCAGGAAGGAGCTAGAGGGACAAGTGGAAGTGGGTGGTGGTGCTGGCGCTGGGAAGACGGGGAAGGCCACGACGCCTCCTGCAGCAGGAGGACGGGCCACCCCGCAGAAACCACCGCCCGTGGGCTGCCTTCTTGTCCAAGAGGTCAAGTCTGTATCCAGCCCTGACGGGCGGGAGCTCCTTCACGTCGGAGGGCAGCCTGGGCATTTTCCCAGTCACTTTGGAATCACTTCTTGACCAGCTTTTCCCACGCCAGGCCTGGCGGGACAGAGCTGATGCTCTGGGACTCAGCACAGCCTGCTCGAAGTCCTTAGAAGGAAGGTGTCGGCAGTGCGAGTGGAAACAGCTACCTTTGCCCCGTCAGCAGTCACCCCAGAGACGAGGAAACGATGGGAAGTCAGGGCAGGGGTGAGGCAGGACTTGGTGAGTCCAGCTCAGTGCTGGCAACCCCCCAACACACAGCCACCCGCAGCAGACATGTCTGTGCAGCAGGGGCCAGGGCCACCGACTGTCCCTTCACTTGTCCTCAGCCCATGGGATGACCGCAAGCCACCCTCTCCAAACTGTTCCACTTCCCAGGCCTGCCACCCTTGTCCTTGGGTGTGACAATTCTCCCACACCAGCCCTCGAATGATGGAGAGTCTGTCACCCACAGCCGCAGCTGGGGCTTTGTTGCCTGAGTGACAGGGACGTCCGCAAATCAAAAGGAAGACATCAATCCTCATTACTCATCCCTCTCCCGCGACACTCGCTTACTCATCAGAGGGTGAGCCAGCCATGGGCTGCGCTCGGGTATTGAAGAGCGAGCTGCACCCTTGTGCTCACACCAAAGCCCTCCATTGCTCCAGGGGCTGGGTCACTCATGGCACCTTCAGTAGCCCCGGAGAAGAGGCGCAAGGAAGCCAAGGTGGGGCTAGGGTGGTTACCAGGTCTCCTCATCCCAGAAGAGGGACCTCGTCCCCTCACCCACGTGTGGAAAAGCAGAGTGGGATGGCGGGAACCTCCCTGCACCCGGTCTAAGCCACAGTCCCTCGGACACCTGAGGAGGGGCTCCAAAGCCCCAGAGCTGGTGACGACACTGGGCCCCGGACAACCTTCAGGATGGAGCGCGCAAAGCCTGGCGCTCCTTGAGCTGCCCTAGGCCTGCAGGCAAAGTGAACTGGCCGACATCCAAAGGGCGCCTGGCAGTGTGGGTTCATGCCCCACCCTGACAAGCAGGGGCTCAGACTCCCCCAAGCTGCCCCGCTGCCTCCTGCACCTGTCGTCCACCCACATTCCTCCAAGCAATGAGCAGTGCTCAGCCCCTGCTGCCCTCGGCTCTGGACCGGCTCATGTGACCTGAACCTCAGGAGCCACCCACGCCCCGCTGTCCCTCGCCCCTGCTCACACTGCACAGTCAGGTAGGCCGAGGCCGAGGGGGAGCGCCCCAGGCTGTTGCTCGGGACACAGGTGTACTTCCCCGCGTCTTCTGGCTTCACCCGGAAGATGATGAGGGTCCCGTCGATCAGGATCCGCACCCTCAGCTTCAGGTCACTGCAGAGCCGGCAAGGAGACCCAGGGGTGTCGTCAGGCAGCGTCTTCCCGCAGACCCCGGAGCAAGTAGTGTGTGGCTCTCCCCTCCCCTGGGCCCAGCAAGGAAGCCCCAGCCCCCAGGGCATTCCCAGGTCCTTCCTCTCAAGGCCCCTCTGCCACAGATCCTGGCCTAGAGCCACACAGCCCCGGACGGCCCCTGCAGGCTCTCGGAGCGCAGCCGTGCACAGTGCTGCTCAGAGGTCTTGCCCAGAGGCTGCATGGGGCCCCACAGGGGGTCAGAGGTCAGAGCAAGGTGCTCACTTCTGGAAGTAGACGTTCTCGTCCTGCCAGTACCAGGTATAGGTGAGGTTGCCTGGGTAGGCCTCTGCCCGGCAGGTGAGCAGAGCGTCCTGGGATATGTTGACGGTGATGTTCTCGGGAGGGGAGACGATGAACGGGGGTCCTGGGGAGGGCAGGGAGAAGTGTCACCTCACCAGGGGAAGAGGCCAATAGGCCAGGTCCACCTGGGAGCTGGGGGCCTCCAAGAGGGGTGTCCTGACCCCCAGCTGTTGTCATGGAGGCTTCTGGTCACTGTGGGCACTCAGGCACCCTCTGTGACACACCTGCCCAGGTTCTACCCCCCTCGACCCTCCTGCCCTCTCTCCTGCAGAGCTGGAGCAGGAGCTGGAAAGGAGGGAGGGAGGTGCTCTCTGTAATCTGTCCCCAAAGGCACCAGCTTCTGCTGCTCCCCAGGCAGAGGTCAGGAGGGTGCTGGGAGACAGAAAGGCGCACAGCCCACGGACGGTGTGATTCTAGCAGTCCCTGAGGCTGGCTGCCAGAGGTGGCGGCTGCCTGGCTCTCCGGGTGGAGGGGTGGCTCTCATCCGTGCTGCCTCAGAGGGACCCCAGTCCTCCTGCCCCTGGCACCTGAGACAGAAGGCAGGTGGCAGAGGGAGCAAGAGTGCTTCAGCAGCTAGACATGGCCACCGCCTCCCTCTGTCCATCCGCAGGTCAGGGGAGGCAGGGCAGGAAACAGCTTGGCACCTGACAGAGACCCCTCCACCTGGATACCACCCAAACCCGGGCAGCACCCAGCCCCCCAGGGGACCTGGTGCCCCAGGCAGAGAAGACCGGCCATCAGCCGGCACCAGCTGCATGGGCCCCAGCTCTGCCAAGTACCCTCTGTGTTATTTAAATGTCTGGGCTTGGACTGCGTCCCTGTCTTTACTTATTGATATTGTCACTAATGGACGGCTGGCCCGAGGGAGGTCTCCTCTCCTGGGGAGCAAAGACAAGGCCGGGATGCTCTATGGACAGGAGAAACCGGAAACGTACCCATGTGGTACCCCCCGAGGCACCATGCAACACAGTACCACCCAGGCCTGGCCCTCTCCCAAGTGGCCAGCCGAGAGCTCTGGCCGCCCAGGTCCACGGTCCACAGGAGCCACCACCTGCCACCCCAGTTCCTGAGAGTTCCCACTACCGCCCATCCCCCCACTGGTCCAACTGGGCCCTGAGGAAAAGCCCTCGTTGCTAACTGGGCTGGAAGGAGGGAGGAAGAGGCAGAGAATCCACTTACCTTGGACAAGCAGGTGGGTCGTGTGGACAGCCTCCCCCTGGATACTGTACGCTCGGCAGGTATAGGCACCTCTGTCCTCCCGACTAACCGATGTCACCGTCAGACTGCCGTCACTCACCTGGGGGCCGAGGACAGAGCTCAGCACCCCCGGGGCCCCCTGCACTACCCACAGGCCAGAGCATGGTAGCTGTGGCTGCCCGCCTGGCCCCACGCTGGGCTGCACTGGGACAGCCTCGGAGGTGAGTGATGGCGGGGAGAGCAGCTGCCTTGGCCCAGCCTGGAGGTGGTAGCTGTGGCTGCCCGCCTGGCCCCACACTGGGCTGCACTGAGACAGCCTCGGAGGTGAGTGATGGCAGGGGAGAGCAGCTGCCTTGGCCCAGCCTGGAGCCACACTCACCTGGTACTTCCCACTAGCACCTAGGAGCGTCCCCTCCTTGAGCCAGGTGACGATGGGCTTGGGGTTCCCAAAGGCTGTGCAGGTCATGGTGATACTGCCGCCCTCCTTGGCCTCGATGTACTGGGGGGGTGTTTCCGTAAAGGTGGGAGGGGCTGCAAAGGAGACCAGGAGGGCGATGGATACGTCAGCCAAGGCCAGGCCCTGTGGGCAGTGCCCGCCCGGCACACAGCCTTCCCAACTCCATGGGGAGAGGAACGGGAAGCAGAGGTCACAGAGAGCAAGGAGACCCAGAACCCAAACTCAGTCTCGCTGGATCCAATTCTATATACTCCTTCCAATGTGCCCAGCTAATTCCCAACAACGCTGACGTCTATTGAGCTCCTTCTAAAGGGAAGTCGCTGTGCTCAGTGCTGAGACACTGCTCCGAGGCACCCTGCCTGGCCCTGAGAGCGCAGGGCCCCCAGCTCCCCAGACCAGACCACTTCGGCGTCCTCGGGATTACCCACAATGCAAAGGGGCCCTCCTTCCTCAAGCCCCTTCATCCCGGTCCTGAGTTTCCAGAGTGTTCACCACCTGAGCCCCACAGGTCTACACCACACGTTTCCCAGTCAGCAGGGATTCACCCACCTGCCTCCCTTTCTCTTTCCATGGATAAAGGACAGCCCACCCTGTAGGCTCCTCCCTCCTTAATTCCCCCGTGATCATGCCAGGTTCTCTTCCCCTCTGCACTGGAGATTTAATTAAAACTCCATCCTGTTTGAATAATCGGCTTTTAAGAGACAGTCCCATTTGCCTGAGCTGCTCATGGAAGCAATCCGGTCAATCTTAACCCCCTGGATATCAGCTCTGCAGTCTTCTGAAACAGCAGGGGCCCCTGTAGGAACGCCAGCCTGCAGCCCACAGTTTGAAGCTGAGACAGGCCATGTGGGCTGTCTCAAGGCACCGAAAGCTCAGGACCCGCGATGTGTAACACTAGGCAAGAAACTCAGTCTCTGGACTTTCCTTCAGTCTTCCACCCTCCAGAACCAACAGGGGGAATAAATGAGATGATGCTTGTGGAAAGGATCTTGCAAAATACACACCAAAAAAAAGGGGGGGATTTCAAGTTTGTGGAAAATGAGGGGTCAGCAGGTGGAACAGTGGTTACGATGCTGGACTCCCACATGGCCAACCACAGTTCGAATCCAAGATATGGCAGCTTGAAAACCAAGCTAGGGACGTGTATATGCATGCCCAAAGTCCCAGGAGGAGAATGGAAGCAAAGAGGTTGTGGCGTGGCCACCCTCCCGGGGAGTGATCCCTCACTCTCCTCCTCACCGTCTCTCTCTGTTTCTCTCTAGCAAGTACAGGCACCCAAAGGCTAAACCTTAAGAAAATATAAAGTTTGTGGAAAATGAAATTAAAGTTCGAGCTTATTTTGTTGCAAAAAATGGAAATCCATACCTAGTTTTCTCACAACACACATTTTCCAGACTTCTTTGGCTTGTTTGCCAGAGGGCACATGCTCTCTGAAGACAGAAAAGAAGAAAGTACCCCCACACACAGGGTATGGTCACTCTACAATCCCATTTCCTGTTTCTTCCTCCTGTCAGGAATTTGGGCATTTGTGCACATGCACTGGGGTGTTTTTTAAACCTCCATGTCTGGGATTTGAACCACACAGTCAGCCATGTGGGACCCAGCTCTCTTAACCACAAGGCCACAGGGCTGAGCCTTTCTGTGAACTTTCTGAGGACCGCTCAATATAAGATGATGGTTGTTCTGCCACCATATTATCATCTCACCAGGAACCGCGGAGGCAATAATGAGAAGCTCTGGGATGGCCCTACCCCGCAAGCCAGCCAGAGTGCTTCAGGATTGGGTCCTGCCCATGCCACTCTCATGCCCTACACCCTCCACCTTCAAGCCACACTGGCCTTCTTCCTCTCCCTCAAAGGTGCCAAGAACTTCAGTCTCAGGGCATTTACATTTGATGTTTTCTGCCTTAAATGGTAAACCCAGCTCTTACACCTTTTCTTCATGGGGATTTTTTCTAAATGGCCCTCGCTGGTCTGCACCTCTGAGGTGACACTCTCTATTCCTTTGTACTCTTTGATTGGACACACAGACACACACATACATACACACATGCACAAAAGGACTTCAAAGAGTTCGTGAAAAGCTATAATTAAAATCAATTTCTTTTGGTGCAAAATTTTTTTAATCCATGCAGTTTTTCATATTACACATTTTCCACATTTTGAAGATGATGTGCATGTGTGTACCCGTAATATATCATTTGCAATATATCTGTGCCTACACACAGGGCCCTTGACTTTTTTTTTTTAAGAGAGAGATTTTCGCTATAGGGCGCATGTGCTCGCTGGAGAGACAGAGAGACAGAAAGCAAAAAATCACCCTCTGGGGGATGACCACACCACAATCCTTTCTCCATACTCCTCTCGGGATTTTGGGCATGCACGCACACACGTCTAGCGTTAGTTTATGCCACCGGGTCCAGGACTCAAACCATAGTCAAAAACATGCACGCACACACGTCTAGCGTGAGTTTATGCCACCGGGTCCAGGACTCAAACCATAGTCAAAAACGTGGTTACGCCATCTGCTGGTGCCCAAGAGGGTCCTTGACTTTTCACGGATCGTGTGACTTCTGAGTTTTTTATTTTATGATGACATGAAAGTGATACACATTAAGAAATCATACTTGGAATTTTTATTCAAAATTCCTTATAATAATCTTATTATGAAATAGGTTTTGTGTTGGATGATTTTCTGAACTATAGGCTAATACAAATACTCTGAGCTAGTTTAAAGCAGGCCAGGCTGAGCTGTGATGTTCAGTAAGTTAGGTGTATTAAATGCATTTTTGACTTAAGATATTTTCAATTTATGATAGGTTTATTGGGACAGGACCCTATCATAAGCCGAGGAGAATCTATATTATAATACAAGCAGGCTTTGAAAAGTTTATGAAAAATGTGTATCATGAAAAAAAACTATGGACAAGGGCCAGCAGTTAGCTTGGAGGATAAGTCACTGGATCCCACATGACTGACTCTGCAGTTTTGAGTCCTGGACCCGGTAGCTTGAAAATCAGGCCAGGTACGTCCACAGGAATGGCCAAAATCCCGAGAAGAGACTAGAGGAGAAAGGACTGTGGTGTAACCCTCCCTCCAAGGGATGACTTCTCACATTCCTTTTCTCTCTTTCGCTCTCACTCTGACAACACATGCACTCAATAGCAAAGAAAAAAAACAACATGGACAGATTTTGAGATTTTTTTTTTTTGGTATTAAACTAAACTCATAGTTGAATTCCATTTTCTCCACAGATTCTTTGAAGTCCCCGCGTATACATACTACAAATAGCCTGCGATACCTCTTGCTGAGACTCCCTGCAGTATGAAAGCGGGTGCCTTCGCCTGTCCCCTGAATTGGGCGGCTCCTTGAGTACACCTGTGCGGAACCCCACTGCAGCACAGTACCAGGTGCGGCCAAATCCTCAGCATTGGTCAAATGATTGAATGAAGGAAATGAATAAATGAACGAAGGTGTACACACATACACACACCTACAGACCAGCGCACGGATGCAGCTTCTTACGAGTGAGACCCACTGTCGTCTATCTCCGAAGCCCGTACGGGGACTACAGAACGGACTCAGAAGCACGTTTTGCGACAGATGATGGCACAGCAGTAAGACACAACACCGCGACTCCGATCCCATGTTGAGGTTCCAGCTTCATGTCTGGAGACCTCCCTGAGCACGCCAGGCACACGCATGCCTGCGAGCCGAGGCTGGCTAAGTCTGGGGGTGATTCGTGGTGTCAAGACCTTGTTGGGAGTGTGCCTCTCTCTGTCTCTTACTTTTGGAAGAAATAAATAAAATAAACATTATAAAAAAGATGCACGCGGGACCAGCAGTTAGCGTAATAGCTATGTCGCTGGACTCCCATGTAGTCAGTCGACCGCGGTTTGAGTCCCGGACCTGGAGGCTTAAACTCACGCCGGGTACACGTGCATGCGTGCCCAAGATCCTGAGAGGAGAATGGAGGAGAAGGGATTGCGGTGTGGCCATCCCCCTTGGGGGGTGATTTCTTGCTTTCTGTCTGTCTGTCTCTCTCTGGCGAGCACACGTGCCCTATAGCAAAAACCTCTAAAAATTAAAAAAAAAAAGATGCACACTATCACACACACAAAAACATGCATGATACACATTCCCAAGAAAATCAATTCTTATCCAGCATCTAAGAATATACTCAAAAAATATATACTAAAAAAATACTAAATATACTTAAAAAAAGAAAAAAAAAATCATTCAAGCCCTTGTAAAGGGATCCTGGCATCGAACCTTCAGTCTGTCTTCCACCTGGAAATGTGTCCATCTCCAACATAGCCCCCGTGAAATACAGGCAACACTGCCATGCCTCTATTACCTCTGGTGTCAAGCTTAAAAGAAAAGATAATAAATTAAATTACGCCCTGATGTGACAAATTAATTACTAATTACATAATTACTTTATTATTTAGGGGCTAATCAGAAAAGTACTTTGAACAATTTCGAGTTTTCAGGAAAATAATGGTTTGACTCTCAATTATTTACTGAATTAGGTGTTAGCTTGCAGCTGCATTTCCAGGCTTAATTCTTTTTTACAAGTGCCCTATAATTAATAGTGCAGGTTAGGAATAGGCCGGCCTTGCCTTTAAGTAATTCACCGACCTAAAGGCTTGGGCTTTTCGGATATTTTATATGTGATAAAGAAATAATTGGGTTTGTTTCCACCCAACTGGTCTTCAAAGAAAACATGGAAGGAGAATGAGACAATTTGTAATTCTAATTTTTCACTGGCCTTTCGTTTTCCAGAGATGATCCCTGTCAGAAAACGTCTGACATTAAACATTCTAGTTTGGAAGCAGTGGTGGGCGGGCACTTGAACCCTTCTCTTCAATACTGGAAATATTTATGCTGGAGGAACCTCCGAACTTGGGGAGGAGGGGAAGGGGAGTAAGAGGAGCGAGTGCTCTCTGTCCTTGGGAGGAGTCTGTTCCTGCCCTACCCATGTGGCAGGTGGGCTCTTCGCTCATGACCATATACCCTGACTAAGCCCTGGCTCTGGGGCCTGGAGCAGCTGACGGACCAGTCTAGGTTTTTCTGCTCAACTCTTCCATGCGAGCAACCTGCCCCTGCTCCCTGAATGGGCCACTCTTCTCCTTCTGGGCATTCAGACGTGCTGTTCCCTCTGCCTGAAATACCCTTCCACCTCCCTCCCTGCACCTGGTCTTCTCCCCAGCCAGGTCTCTGGACAAAGGATATTTCCTCAGGGAAGCTCTCCTTCCCCTGTTCTTCCAAAAGCCAGATGACAATCAGCTCTGGACTTAACCACCTCTTGAAGTCTCAAGAGTCAGAGCCAGGTCACCCTTTGCCCCCAGCTATCATCCCTGAAGCTTCTTCCTCCAGAGTAGACATTCAAAAACATGGTTTAAATGGATCATTACTAGTGGATTCTCAAGGACTTTGAAACTGCCCAGGTCCCCTGGCTCGCCCATCTGATGTCTGCAGCCCCCCTCTCATCTGACTTCATCTGCTTCCTCTCTGAAGAGGAGGACAGCTGGCATTGCACACACAAGCACACATGTGTAACTAATGTTCCAGACACTGTGCCAGGTATCTGCTCACACTGCACTTAACTTAAACCCCGCCACAACCCCACATGTAGGCATTGCTCTTATAACCGAGGGAAGCGAAGCTCAGCGCGGGAACTTGCCCAGGGTCAAGTAACTAACACGCAGTGGGTTTGTGAAGTAACCAACCGTTGAAGGGTCTGAGCCCATGATTGTTTCGCTCTAAGCAACTGGGAATTCCAAAGAATGGACTCGCACACATGCAGACTGTGACAGGGATGCAACAGGTCAACAGCCTGTCTCTCTCCACGCTGAATTCCACCTTCCCGCCACGGGAGTGCCTACTGCATGCCTGACATCTCCGAGTCCCAAAACGGACACCAGCACCGAGATGACACAAAGGGAAGGGGACAGCACCCTGAGATGAGGACAACCCCGTTCAGGGAAGGGCACAGGAAAGGAAGGGAGCAACGTGGAGCCTCTTGGCTTGGAGTTCACCCGGGAGGCTTCAACACAGACCCACCTTCCTACGCCTGTGGTGCCTGGGCTGATATTAAGACAAGTTTTCATCCCTGCACACAACAGCTGCCATCAAAAAGAGGTGACTCAACAGCTCGCCGGGTTGTGGGGATAGTCCACCAAGAATGACTGTATGCCTCCCAGCAGTGTCTTGAGACTGTCTGAAAGGAGCCGGCTATATCTTGCAGAGAGTGGGGAGCTGGGCCACCCAGACCAGCACCAACCTGGGGCCACCATCCTGAAGGTTCTTCCTCAAGGCCAGTGTTCTTACAAAGATCCTCTGTTCTTCCAGGACCCTGGACAGGTTCCAGACCCAGAAGGAGCAGAGGTCTGACTCAATCGCACCAGGCAGACTAGACGTAGCAACCTTCAAGGCAAATCACTACACAGAGAAGCCTCCAAACAGGAACATCAGCTTCTGTCTTCCACCCATGCATGGCCTCAGGCTCAGCCACCAGGGCCAACAGAACCAATGCTGCATGTGGCACTGTGCCCCGTCAGAGCCTCAGTAACTAGCACAGGGTCTGCCACACACTGATGGCTGGGTATGGCTTGTCATCCACTGAATAAGAATAAAGATCCAGCCAAAAGAGGGACTAGCAGATGGCACAGTGGTTGCATTACTGGACTCCCACGTAGTTAATAGTGGTTCAAGTCCTGGACCCAGCAGCTTAAGACTCACACCAGGGGGACCAACAGTTGGTGTAATGGCTATGTCTCTGGACTTCCATGTAGTCGACCACGGTTCAAGTCCCGGACCCGGTGGCTCAAACTTCATGGTGGGCATGTATGTGTGCATGCCCAAAGTCCCTGGAGGAGAATGGAGGAGAAGGGATTGTGGCATGGCCATCCTCCCCGGGGGGTGATTTCTCACTTTCTGTCTCTCTCTCTGTCTTTCTGGTGAGCGCATGAACACTATAGCAAAAAAAAAAAAAAAAAAAAAAAAAAGAAAAGAAAAAAAAAACCTCTCCCCTCAGAAAAAACTCACACCAGGCACCTGTGCCCAAAATCCCAAGAGGAGAATGAAGGAGAAGGAACTGCAGTGTGGCCATCCCCCCAGGGGGAGATTTCTCACTCTCTCTCTGCCTATCCAGCAAGTGCACACATCCTACAGCAAAAACCTCCTTTAAAAAATCTAGCCAAAATGGGACCAGCAGTTGGCATAATGGCTATGTCGCTGGACTCCCATGTAGTCGACTGTGGGAGAAGGGATTGTGGTGTGGCCATCCGCTATGGGGAATGATTTCTCACTTTCTGTCTCTCTGTCTCTCTGGTGAGCATACACACCCTATAGCAAAAACGTCTCAAAAAAAAGAAAGAAAAGAAAAGAAAGAAAAATACAAGCCAAAAGAAACAAAACAAAACAAAATGCCCATCTCCTTTCCCACTATGGAAACCATTTCTCCTTCATCTTTTATATGTGGTTCCAGCCTTCTGGCTCCTCCAGAGCACTTCCTCTAAGGAAGGGCTTTCCAGGACACTAAGGGAGACGGTCCCTTCAGGGAGACCCCGAGGGCCCAGAGCTAAGTGCCTGCACAGCTCAGGCCCAGGCCCCCAACTACACCCACGCGGGAACCTCGGCAAGCTCCCCCAGGCTTCCCTAGCTACACTTGAAAAGCATCTACACACAGCACAATTCATTTAACCTGAGCTATAAATAACCAGGAGCCATTAAAGTCAGGACTCCTCCCAGGATTCTTCGGTGTTATTAGCTGGTAAACCCCGTTGGAGCAAGCACCATGCGGGGCTTGCTCAGCACTGCTCACCTGTCCCTGGTGCAGGCTGGGCACAACCCACCTGCAGCGCTCACTGCTCAGCTGGATACTCTTTCCGAGGAACCAACCAGCAGCCACAGAGAAGGCCTAGCGGGGCCCCAGGCCTTCCCCTTCCCCGGCCTCTTCCCCTTCCCCAGGCTGGGAAACAATCCCTGCAGTGACCAAAACCTTCCTCATTTCAAGAAGCAGGTTCCCACCTTCCCCTAAGGAACCTCAGCACCCTCAACATCACCATGCACAATGGGGACTGCTGCTCCAGGGAACCAAATGGACCCGAGAGGCTCTAGGTAGGTCAAGGAAGCACAGGAGGAGGGAGCTGAAGGCCCAGCCAAGCCTTCCCAAGGCTGCTCTTTGCAGCAGGGACCAGGGCTGCGGAGGGTGCAGTGGGGAGTGGGATTTGCCCAGGGCAGCCACCGAGGCTGGCATACGCACCGTTGATGGTGAGGTGGACCCAGCTGCCATTGTGGAAGGTGTCATACTGCTGGTCCAGCATGAGCACTTTACACTCGTACCAGCCCTGGTCCTCCGAGCGGACCTGCTCCAGTCGCAGAGATGCTTTGTCATGGAGACTGGCCCGGCCTGCAGGGACAGAGTGGACAAAAGCCCCAGAGGCCATCAGTGCAGCCTGGCAACTCCCACAGCCAACCCTAACCAAAGGCAGGGGATCCGTCACAGTCCTCCCACAGTTCTCATGGCAGGGCCCCAGGATGACAGCCGGCAGCAGCTCCGGCACAGGTGGCAAAGGGGAAGTCGTGAGGCCTTGGCTGGGGGCTCTGGCTCCTGCCTGCACAGGCAGCTCGGTGTGCTCGGCACTGGGAAAAGCATGAGCTCCGTAGAGTACTCCATGCTCCTAGGGCAAGGGGAGGCATGTTGGATGCAGGGTTGAGAAGAGACAAGAAAGGGAGAGAAGGGGACAGAAGAGGACAGGCAGGCCCTGGAGCATGTCTGCTTGGGTCAAGCAAGATCCCTAGGCTAGCTGGCGCTGGGACCACACCTGGTGTCCCCCTCTGCCTGGGCCCTGCAGTAGGGCAGAGGGAAGGTGGGCCGGGTGCCTGGAGCTATGGCCGGCTCCAGCTCAAGACTGCGCATTTCACCAAAGCCTGGCAGCTCCAGGAGCTGGGCATCGGCCGAGAAACACGAGTGTGCAGGAGGTGGCAGACAGAGCGAGGATGCTGGCCGCCCTTTCTGAGCAACGAGCTCTCCCCGTCAGGAGGCCATCTTGGTCTCTCATGCGATGAGCAGCTCCAAGTTGCAGCAGGAACCCCTTCCTTCGTTCCAGAGAACCGGCAGTGCCGGGAGACCTCCTACCTCAGCCACTGCCCTGGCCCCAAGCCAACGCCATGCCCTCCTCTGCTTTCCCCCTGTCCTGACACGGGCAACTGCCTACAAACCAGAGGATCCGAACCAAACCTGGCCAAAAAGAGTAACAGGCATCGGCCTAGGAGAGACAGAAACCGAGGCGCTCTGGGAAAGAGGCCGCCGGATGGAGCCACAGCAGAGAAAGGCACAGCAGTTCCGGCCCGTGCCCTCCCTGCTGTGCAGCCCCAGCACACGCTCTCGCACCCGGAGACTCACACACACCCCACGCCCTCCTCGCTGGCAGGCAGGCAGAGGCCCTGAGTCACAGCAAGGCCAGAAGTAATTGCAGAGCAAGACACACCCACGGCAGGAGAGGGGACCGGGTGGCAGAGAAGGCAGAGGGACTAGCACAGACAGCAGGGGCCCAAGATGCAGGCTACACAGAGGGTGGGAGAGTGCCCCAACTTCGGAGCCGAGAGGGAAAGTGGGGATGCAGTCAGATGGAACACATCCGCCTCCTGCTGGGGCTGCCAACCCAGGGTGTGGGCTGTGGGCACAGCTTCTCTCCTTCACCGGCCTCTAGAACTTTCCGTGTGACCTCGGGCACATTGGTTAGAAGGGCTTTATAGCAGCATCACCTCCTACTCTGGCCCTTCCCCAGACTTAATTAAAATCTACTAGAGTCCAAAGGATGGGGAGAAAGGGGCAGAGATGGTGCAAGACAGAGATAACAGGTGGGGAAAAGAGAGGAAGTCACAGAGAGAAAGACGGAGGAGTTGGGCCCCCACGGACCAGCACCAGGAGCCCGGATGGGAGGGAGACAGGGTAGAACCCAAGGGGGAACCGCCATGGGGACAGTCCCCAGACCTTACCTGCATACTCAGGGTCCACATGGGGAGGATAGTAGCCAAACTTGATGAAGATAGGGATGGGGACCCCGAACTTGAACCACTCTACCACATAGGGCGGAGGCTGTCCCGTCACCGGGTGGATCACGTCGCATCGTAGGACCACGCCCTCGCCAGCTCGGGCGGTCACAAACTCAGGCTCCTCTCGCAGGCCGTGGGCACCTAATGGGGACAGCCAAGTAGGGACACGGAAAGCAGGTGACAAAGAGATCCAACCCCCGTCAGCTCCCGGTGCTGTCCCAGCCCTCCTACAGCCCTCCCCAAGGGTCCTGGGTGCACCCTCCACTCCTCCTCCACCTCTCTGCTCACACCTCCCTCTGCCCTGGGCGTCCCAGGTCCCCACAAACCTGGGGGAGAGGAAGAAGGAAAGGGGAGAAGAGACCAGAGTAGATTTCTTGAGAGCTACCCCGCCAGCCCTTCCCACCCCGTCCCAAAGAGGAGCGGCAGATCACGCCCTCCCCCTGCGCTTCCCCGGAATTAGGAGCCTGGCCAGGCAGGTGGAGTAACTCAGCCCGGGTGCGGGTGCGCAGTCTGCCCCAGTGGCGGGTGGCGCCTGAAAACGAGGAACATCCCCCAGAATCCGGACTGGGAGGAGACACAGAGCGCCCTCCTCCTCCCGCCCCACCCCCCAGCTCAGGACGTTCAGCCAAAACTAGAGAGCGCCTTACAGGGGGGGAATCCTAGCAGGCTCACAGGGGCAGGGCTTGCAGCACTGGAGGGAAACCCCCGCAGGCCAGACCGGCCTTGCTGCCCCTCCTCCCAGGACTGCGCCAGCCCTGCCGCAGAGGGGAGGCCGGGAGGGGCCTGCAGTCCTCCCTTTTCCAAACCTATCAGGCTCCCAGACAGCACCAGGAGGACAGCAGGAAGCTGGGGCCGGAGGAGGGGACCTGGGGCTGTCCCTACCTTTGGCCAAGGGTAAGGAATCCTGAGAGCTGGATGGGACATTCGCATCCTGGCTGGCAGGGGAGGGGCATGGAAGGAGTTGAGGGGAGAGGCCACCCTCGCCACCGACCAGCACGCTGGAGGAAGCAGCGGAGAGGCTGACCCAGCACTGTCCCCTCCCCCGCCACAGCATGGGCCCCAGGCCGAGTGAATATGCGAGCGGGCAGCCCCACCTCCAGTTTTACAGTATTCGCACACCAGGCAGGGCCTGGGAGACCACAAGGTCACCTTGTTCCGCGACATCCCAGTGAAAAAGACAGAAGCCGCACCTCTGCCCTCCCAGAACTGTGTCCACCCCCACTCCCGACCCAAGCTGGGCCTCCCAGCTCTGCGGGCCAGCACCGCGGACAGCAGCCACCGCAGAGGCGAGTCTCCACTAGGCTGCCCAGAGGCGGCGCACTGGTCCCTGCCTGTCTCTGTCTCTGCCTTTCTCCGTGTCTCTGTGTCTGGCCACCTCTGGTGTCCATGTGTGCGCACACGTGTACCTCTCTGTACCCAGCTCCTTCTTTGTCTCTCTCGTCTCTTTCTGTGTCTGTCTCTTTCTCTCCTTTCTCATCGTTCTCCTCTGACTCTTGTCTCTCACGGGCTTCTTCTTTGTCTCTTTGTATCTGGCTCATTCTGTGTGTGTGCATGCATGTTCTCTGCTCCGTCATGTGTCTCTGGCTCCCTCCAAGTCTGTCAGTGTCTCTGTCTCTCTGTTTCTGTCTCCTCCTCTCCAGCTTCCACTATACTGGGATGATTCTTTCTACCTGCCTGTCTCCCTCTCTGTTTCTGTCTCTGTCAGCATGTGTGTGTGTGTCTGTACGTGTGTGCGTGTGTGTCTGTGCGTGTGTGTGTGTGTGTGTGTGTCTGTGCATGTATGTGTGTGTGTTGGGGGACCAGGGTCTTGCATTTCCATTATTCTGTGCTTACAGAAGGGGTTTTGCCTGCTTTTCTGCTTGGAGGGGACTCTGTCCCTGCGCCGTGTCCCTGTGAATCTCATTCTCCCCCTCCCCCTCCCCTGCAAGTTGCGGAAGGAGGAGGAGGAGGAGGCAAGCCCTTCCAGAAACTGATTGGCTCCCGGTGACATCACTGTTTTCTAGAGAAAGAGCTAAGATCACAGAGTATTTTTGGAGCAGAGCAGTGTTGCGCTCACCTGCCTGAGGCCCCAGCAGGTTTTCCCGGCTCCCCCACCCCCAGCTTCAGCTTCGCTTCAGGCTAGGTTTGCATCCCAGCCCCCAGGGAAAGCCTGGAGAGGGCCCCGCTGCAGCAGGCCTCCCCTGGCCCCGAGGCCCTGCATCCAGGTGCACAAAGGCAAGGCTGGGCCAGAGCAATGGGTGCATGTATGTGTGTGTGTTGGGGGACCAGGGTCTTGCATTTCCATTATTCTGTGCTTACAGAAGGGGTTTTGCCTGCTTTTCTGCTTGGAGGGGACTCTGTCCCTGCGCCGTGTCCCTGTGAATCTCATTCTCCCCCTCCCCCTCCCCTGCAAGTTGCGGAAGGAGGAGGAGGAGGAGGCAAGCCCTTCCAGAAACTGATTGGCTCCCGGTGACATCACTGTTTTCTAGAGAAAGAGCTAAGATCACAGAGTATTTTTGGAGCAGAGCAGTGTTGCGCTCACCTGCCTGAGGCCCCAGCAGGTTTTCCCGGCTCCCCCACCCCCAGCTTCAGCTTCGCTTCAGGCTAGGTTTGCATCCCAGCCCCCAGGGAAAGCCTGGAGAGGGCCCCGCTGCAGCAGGCCTCCCCTGGCCCCGAGGCCCTGCATCCAGGTGCACAAAGGCAAGGCTGGGCCAGAGCAATGGGCAGCCATGGCCATCAGGAGACAGGAGAGGCCGTGCATGTGCGTGCACACACGTGTGTGTGTGCGTGTGTGTGGCACACACCTGTGTGAAGAGAAACTACAGGAGCCTGAAGGAAGACAGAGTTATTCTCAAAGGTCAGGTTACCTAGGGGAGGGCAATGGGGGGCCATGCAAAGTTAGCCCCATTGGAGGGTTTTGGCCCCAGAGCCTGGACACCTGCAGGAAAGGGCAGACACCTTTCAGAGGGGTCAAGGGTTCTAGGGGACAGTGCCAGGAAGTGGGTGGGCTCAGACTTGGGTTCCCACAGTGCAGGCTGCTCACTAGCACCTGGCACTGCCTCATTCTCACTGCATGGCAATGAGGCAGCCTCTTTGACACCTCCCTGCACCAGTTCCAGGGCCCAGCCCTTGGGCTGAGCACTGAGCACCCAGTCCAACGCCCAGCCCAGGGCAGTTGGTCTCCACCCGGGAGAAACAGCTATAGAGAGGTTGCACCCCAAAGATGGTACACAAAACAAAATGAGCCAGAACCCCCCAAAGAAACCCAAAAGACAGCACAGGCGCAGCAGCCCACGCCCCAGCCACACCCTCAGTCCAGGCCTTCCTGGCTTTCTTGGCCTTCCTGGCAATCCCAAAATACGCAGCGGGTTTTCTTCACCCCTCACACTCCGGCGCACACGCACAGGGCCCGTTCTCACTCCTTCACCCACAAGCACTTCTCCCTCAGCCTGATCCTTTTTGAGCCAAAGTATGTCTAATAAAACACTCTCTCCAGAAAAGCTCGGCGTGGGAAAACAACTAATCAGGCTGGCAGTGAAGAGGGAAGAAGGGCTTGACGGAGGTAGACAAAGTCAGACACGGGAAACCAAACCCAGATCCAGGAGTGAAAGGGATCCGGGAAGCAGGAAGGAGAGAGGAAGGAGAGGAAGGAGAGAGGAAGGCCAGGCTTGCCGGGCGCAGGCAGGACCAGGCAGCGCCCAGCCCTGGGAGAGCACAGGGCAGCGACAGATGGACAGAGCACTGGGACCAGGAGCGGGGACAGCAGGAGGGCTTGTCAGGGCCACTGGGCAACTGCCCACTGCTGAAAGGAGCCACATAGAGGCGGGGAAGGCAGGTCGCAGAGGGCCTGATGGGGAAGGCCACAAGGGAGCCCCTCCATCACTTCCCCCATCACAGCAGCCCCCAGAGGCAAGGCCTCTCCCTCAAAGGGGGGTGGGCACAGCAGCAGGAAGGCAGTGAGGTGCCCTGGGTCTCACCCACCCTTTTGGCAAAGGCAAAAAACAGCAGCACCCTGGGCCTGGCAAGTCTACTCCTTGGGGGTCCACCCAGCCCAGTCTGGAGCTGCCCCATCCTGGCAGGGAAGAGAGCAGGGCCAGGAGGATGAGTGGCCCCGCAGCCTGGCTGACCTTTCAGGAAGCCCATCAGGTACAAATCTCCTCTCTGGACCAGGTGGTACCCAGCAGGTAGTTGAGTCCAGGGCTGTTGTCGGACCCCTGTGGGCACAGAGCCATGACGCATGCGGGGCCTGGCATGGCCCCAAGTCCAAGATCACAACCAGGAGCTCAGCGGCGGCAGGGGAAGGGGCTGGGACAGCAGGGTCCCTGAGAAGAAGAAATTCTCCAAGTGCCAGAGTGCACAGAGGAGCCGGCCAACAGAGCTTTGGCTGGCAGATGAGCCTAACATATTGCGAACACCTACCTCGCACCAGGCTCAGCGTGTGGAATGCGGTGCAAGTCTCGTTAGTGCCCACAGTGGCCGACGATGCTGCTGTGTCCCTTTGACAAGTGAGCAGGCAGAAGGTGGCAGGCTTACCCAAGGTTACTCAGGTTAACAGGTGGCACCCATCACAACCCCCTGTCCAGCCCAGGCCCCCACCCGGGCCTCTCTCCACTACCCCCACTTTCTTGAGGCATTGAGTCCAAGGCCAGCCACTTTGACCCCAAGGTATAAGCAGGATTTGAGAATCCAGACCCTGAAGCCCAGGAGGACCAGGAGAAGATGGCAGGGCGGGCCTGTCTCGGAAGGCAGCTGCACCGTCTCGGACCACAGGGGGTGGACGCCTTTCTGCCTGAGACCCTGGAGCCCTGCCCACCTCTGTGCTCATTAGTACAAGCTCCCACTGCGGCCTCCTCCTCTTCCTCCTCCTCCTCTAGGCACCAGACTCCCAAACCACAGGGCTGTTGTCTAATAATACCAGCGACAGCCACCGCCACCTCCATCTGCCAGCCTAAAAATAATCCCTGCTGTGTCCAAAAAAGGCACAGCCCCCAATAGTCCCCGAAGCCCTCCTCCCCGACAAACCAGGAGATTCCAGGAAGCTGGCACGCTCGGGCTCGTGCGGAGTGGGAGGCGCACGCCTAGAGGGACGGCAGAAGACGGACTCCCCGACTCCCCAGGTCCAAAGCAGAGCCCACAACAACCAGCCCAGACGAGATGGAGGA